AAAGTTTAGGGGCGGAGGATCTAGGGGTTTAGGGTTTAGGGTTTAGGGTTTAGTTTAGGGTTTAGGGTTTAGGGTTTAGGGTTTAGGGTTTAGGGTTTAGGGTTTAGGGTTTAGGGTTTAGGGTTGGGTTCAAAGATGGGGGTTCCCGACGTAGGGACTGGCTCAGGAGGGTTTCGAGAGCATGCGCAACCGGGAATTATCACAAAGCCACGAAATGTAAAGTCCACTTGGTTCTGAAGATATGTGTTTGTGTGTATGTATATATATATATATATATATTTATTTATTCATTTATTTATTTGTTTATTATAGAAAAGTGCGTGTCTATATATATATATATATATATGTGTGTGTGTGTGTGCGCGCATGTTTGTTCGTACGTGTATTTGTTTGTTGATTTGTTTATTTTGTGCTTGCTGGTAGTGACGTTTAGGGCGCTGGCTGTGGTGGAAGTTGTGTATCCACTGGCTGCAGTGATGCCACTAGCATTGGAGTTCGGGTCAACGGTTACGCGTCTCGAGCTCGGGTTTAGGATTTTCGGAATTGGGGTTCAGGCGTTGTTGATGTCGCGGGTGAAAGAAAACGAGCAGGCAGCAATGCGGCAACGCTTCCGATGGAATTCCACTTACGTTTTAGGCTCTTTCACGGTACCGGGGCACAGTGCTGTCTTTGTTTCCTAAATTACAGCGATGCAGCGAATCCGAGCAGGTGGACGAGTCCATATCAGAGCACTTCAGCGGATCAGGCAATGGTTTCGCTGGGAGAAAGAAGTTGGGGTGGGGCTTCGATTCTAGTCTGCTCTTTCTGCTGGTTTCCACGGGTCAAGTGGATCTAGGGAAAGGGCATCGGCATGCTATGGAATGTTCTCGGCGGTTGTTCGGAGTGCCGCGAACATCTCTACAATACCCTTGGAAGCGACATCCGGAGCCTGATCAGGGCCTGATCTCCACCCTGAGCCTAGTAATAATTGAAATTAGTGCACAAAGCGGTTGTCAACGGCTTTCTCAGCGTTTGTGGATCAGAGTCGCGAGAGGCGCTTTTGACAGAACGCTCTGAAGTTCAAATTGCTGCACACTGCGAGGTCGAAAGCAAACAGCAGTCCCAAACCGTGTTATACCCTGAACCATGAGCCAATAACAGCATTAGTGCACATTATTAGTATTTGTACTAGTGCTAGCACTAGTACTAGCGTTAGCATCAGTAATAGTATTTGTATCCGTATTCGTATTAGTGCTAGTACTCTTGTTAGTCTTAGAATTCAAAAACTAACATGGCTGGAGCTCGGATAGAACGGAGGGCGCGGCTTTTTGTAGGGGGCATTCATGATGCCAACAAACGGTCAAACCCTAACATCCTCAACCCCAACCTGCACCGCCAAAGCCTGAAGCCGTAACCAACAGGAAAAACAAACTCCTAAGACCCTGAAACCCCCTAAACCTCGCGAACCTAAACCCTAGGACCCTGAACCCTAAAACTCAAAACACCTCCTCCCAGGAGACGAGTTTGAAGTGGAGGCCTTTGAAGAGGCCAGCTGTGAGTTCAAGACGAGGGTTTTTTTCAGGGTTTATGGTTCAGGGTTTGGGGTTTAGGGTTCAGGGTTGGTGGTTTAGGGTAACTTTGCTTCTGAAGCCAGGAGAAGCGACCCTAAGATAATGCCTGACGGATCCTGACGGCTTACGATGGGAACACAGACGGCCCAGCGAGTGCCCTGGATTTTAATTTTGAGTCAGAGCATGAGAAGACTCAAACATGTGCAGGTGTGTGTGTGTGTGAGACAGAGAGAGAGAGAGAGAGTGTTGGTATACGTGTCTGCATGTGTGCGTCATGCGCACGGCACGCAACTTAATGGAATGTAAAGTGTAACTGTATGCCGTATGCATCTATATTTGTTTATGCAGGTGTTACAGTTTTATATAAGCACATATGCTGCACTATCTGCATGCAGACATGTTTACACACACGCCTGTGCATGCTGTGTGCGCAGAATTAGTTACACTTGTGCTTCCCGCATAACTATGTAGACTAAGTGTGGCTTCACGTGGTTGCATTGTCAAGCTTTGCTTTTAGCGGCATGCGTTTGAAGCTTGTACATACACTTACATATGTTCACACATCTATGCACACACACACACACATCATGGATACGTATGTCCGTGTTCCTGGAAGGCGCATACACGGACGGACTTGACGGAGCTTGTATGTCAAGCCTTAAACCATGAAGTGCCATGAAGTGAGGGCAGGCAAACAGATGCCGAAACAGAGACTCACCAACAACATGAAATAAAGCAGGTCTTGAATTGAGTCATGCCAAGCACGGGTGTTTGCAAGCCTTTACACCTAAAGAAAGAGGAAACTTTTTCCTGGACTAAGACGCAGTGTGTTTACAACGAGGCCTCACTCCGGCGCTTGGGATTTTGTTTTCGTCCGTGTGACGCTTGCAGCTTTGGGACTGCTTTGGCTTTCTGTAATGGCCTAGAAGCGCACGGACATACACACAAAAGCACAGAAGCAGTACTTGCGACTTCTCTCGAAAATCCGATGACTTCGTAAGCACTGGTTAAGTCGTGCCACGGTCGTACTCGTAGTACGTGTATACTGCCCCAATGCCTCCTTCGGAGTTACATTTCCCATGTCTCTAGACTGAACCGCCACAGCAGAGGCGAGCCAAAACAGCAGCGATGGCAAGTTTTGAGCCGTTCCAGGCATTGGGACGAAAGAGGAATTCAATTTCATGGCAACTGCTGATGTTATGATTATGACTGCGACTGTTATTATGAATATGGCTGCTACACCATTGTTACTCTTGCAACAGATGCTGTTGATGGTGTTGTCATTTATATTTCTTTATTGTGTC